CCCAGGATGCACCAAGCAAGATGTGGCCCATTCAGTGGGCGCAGAGAGCAGCTGCTCGATGGTGTGCCCACGGGGGGCTTGCTCACCTGTGCCCCGCACTATCACAAGGGATGCTATGTGTACGGTCATAACCGAGTTAACAAACCATGGCTCACCCGCAACGGTTACTTCCAGACCGGAACTAGCACCGAGACCAACACTCCGGAGGAAGTCTTCCCTGTTCAACGGTCCTGGGATTTCACAGCAGAACAATCGCCCATCGAGGGATCTGGTATCGACTAGGGCAAAGGGGGCAGCCGTAGCCCACTCAGGTATCGCGAGCAGGCTCACATGATCAAATGCTGGCTGCGGGTCGACTGGGATGAGGGAACCCAAGGCAAATGTCCAGGAGGACTGCCGTCCATCCTGCACAGCACACAAAAGGTCCTCGACATCAAAAGGGTGTGTGAGCTCGATGTGGACAACCTCAGCCTGATACCGGGGTGCGTACACCGCCGCACACAATCGTGTTGCACCGAAAACGTCCCGCCTTGGAGTCGGACGCTCTTGCGCATTTACACTCGCTGAACCGTCCAAAGGTGGCTCTGTGGTGTGGCGGTCTGCAACGGGAGTAAGCGGAATGGTGCGATGGAATGCATCATGGGGCATGCCATGAATGTCGGTGCCCGGCGGCAAATTGGCAGGTTCCCTCACTGAGGCAGAGGGTGCCGTGACCGTCTCTGCATCGCCGGATGGGGCATCAGGCCGGCGCTTGATGATGACGGTGACCACAGCGTCGGCAGCAACCTGAACATTGCCCTCTCGGATGGGCCCACCGTGAAGGTGCGCGGAACAACCCGCAGGGATATTGATTCCCAGAAATTGAAAAACCCCTTTACCTGGTCACACTTCACGGCTGGTGTAGGCAAATTGGATCATTCCACCTGCTGGCCGGCAGTCAAAGAACACAAATTGCCCCGTACCAGGGCCACCCTCATCGTCAACTTTGCGTGCGGCAGCAACAACACCAGGTAGAAGTGCACCGTACTGGACAAGTGGCGGCAGGCAAGGATCGGTTGGGAGCTGATGGAAAACGAGGTGTTCCTCCCGGTGATGCATCGCACTAGCTGCATGCTGCCTCAATTCGTCATCGAAGTTTCCCTGATGGAGCACAATTCTGACAGTGTGCTCTGCGAGGATTCTCCAAGACTCGCTTTCGACTTCTTTCCACATGTATCGGAAGTCCTCCGTGAGGAGGACTCGGTCTTTGAGGCATGTGGAGGTTGATACCCCCCAACTGGGAGCACTGTGCAAACTAACGACCCGAAAAACCGTACCAGAGGCGACTATTTCCCCGCAGTCCCTGATCGGGGCCGTGTGCCCAGCACAGAACACTAGGCAAGGCCCGTCAACATGCAGGGCGATGTGCTCGCGAAGGTCCGCCTCGGTGACGCGGGCCCAGGTCAAGAGGGCATACACAGGCCCGTTCCATGCTGAGAAGTCGAGTACAATCACAACTTTGTCGCTTCCCCTAACCCAGGCAGGAGCTATGACTGCTGTGATGTATCCCTCAGCCGGCTGGGGGTTTGCAAGGATTACCTCAGATTCAAAAGGCAGGGGGTCATCTGCAAGCTTTTCAGCAAAAGCCGACTCCAAATCTTCTGCCTCGACCGGGAAGGGAACTGTGGCGCGGACAATTCGGGACGGGTAACCATGTGCGAGCAGAAGGCCTTGCACTTCAACTGGTGGCTCAACCTTAGTGCTAAAAGCAGCCCAATCTGTAGAGCCCGCGGAGGGCACCTCTGATGCTCTGCTTTGCCCGTGAATTGCAGGAGCAAACGGGTCCGCAGCGCTTGCAACAGGAAGTTGCGCCAAGGCCAGTGCTGTGATGGAGGGGCCGTCAGGCGTCCCGGGCGCAGCAGCACATAGCTGCACATCAGAACCCAACAACATGTACAGGAGAGTACTCCAGAAACCAGAGCATCTTGCACGCCTCGGTTTCCTTTCACAGGGGGCCGACGCGCGCTTTCGCGTGGGCACATGCCACTTCAAAATTGGTTGGCTGGGAGTGGCACTGTATCCGACAGCAATAACAGCATGCAGAGGGAAATCTGTGAGGGGGAGTCTCAGACATTTTCCCAAGGGCTGATGCCTGCTCGGTGTTGGCCAAATCCATAGTTTGCACAAACAGACAAAGAAGAGGCCATGCAAGGTGAGCAGGAAATTGTGAAGCTGAGGGAATTCCGAATCCTCAAAGGGAGGTGGCTGACAATCAACAACCGAGGTGTCCGCAGTTCGGGCCTGCGTCCCTGAGCAACCGATACGCATGTTGTGCGCTCCGGACTGCTGGACACCTACGCACCTGACTGCAGCTCCACTAACAGCAGGTTCGTTGCAAAACGGCGGACACTCGTGTGCTTGAGAGGCCGCACACGCATGGGAGGCACTGCGGGGCCGTGGATTAGGGACCCTAAACCACAAAGGGAAGGAGGGTGGGCCTAAACCACAAGAAACCCCCAAAACTTGCTGAGCAAAGGGAGAGGGTCCACAATGCTGTCTGAAAGCAGGTGCTGAAGGAGCATCCGGAGAGGTCAATGCGATAGAGAGGGCTGACACATTTCGGCATGATGGGCACGGGAGTGGGCCACGGGTCAGGTAACGACACTGTGGAGATATAAGCCCAGATCCCACAGGTCGTCACCCAGGCGGCCTGCAAAAACCCAATGCAGACACGTCTGGGAACCTCCAGGGAGATGGGTAGGTCCAGTTGCAGGCTGAGTGCATTCCTGTACAACTACACTACCGCTATCAACAATCTGCTCACTGAGCCCGCGAACGGAACCTCGCCCATCAGATAGGAGAAGCATCATGTCAGGATTGTGGCCTTGCCCGGGGTGCAACTCTGCCAACGAGTTCAGCCCGTCTGAACTCAGAAGGCAAGGGCTCCTCAGGCGGCGGCAACCTTGAGATGCTCCCCCACTGGTAGGCGAGGTTAAGAACGCTAGGCAGTCCTTCCAGGATCGTCGTCTTCGTCGGCATCGGCGTCGATAGCATCCTGCATCGCAGCTGTCCCTGAGAAGGCATGGAGCCGAGCCTGGATCTCCTGGTCCGTGAGGAAGGGCACGTTCCCCTGGTCGGCGGAATTCTCGGCCAAAGTGCTTGGCTGGTGTGGTTCCGTAGTCAGGACATGTCCAGCAAGACCAAAGGGTGCCAAGGCCTGCCGGCGCTGATCCAGCTTCTGTCCCAACGGCACACCGCCTGTAGGAGGGGGCCCCGTCGGAGGTCTCGTTTTCACAGAAACTCTCGCTCCATCTGGCCCCTTGAAGTGCTGGCTGGGGGACGGCAAGATGCCAGGTCCGCCGCTGGCACTGGGGCTTTGCAGATAGGGGTCCCTGCTGAGCACATTTGCATAACCTCCCGGTGGCGGCAGACCAGGTGCTAGCAAGGTAGGCGTAGGCAGGACGGAAGCCGGTGCCACCATAGATGCAGCCTCCAATGGAAAGCCGGCACAAGCACTTCCAGTGTGCGCCGGCGCCGTCAGCCCTGGGGGTGCAAAGTCTGCACCTGGGATAACCAGCGGATTTCCAGTAGGAGCAGGGGCTTCGTGTCGTCCCTGCCCGTGTTGCCCACGAACAGGGGCCGAGGTCTCTCCGATAGCTCGCTGTAAGACCGAGTGTGCATCGAAACCGACCATGTCCTGACGGCCCTGGTCCACCATCATAGCGTATGCTCGGTCCGCCTCCTCCGTGGTTTCCTCCTCCTGTCCTCCGTCGTGGAAGACACGAGCCAAACCTGCACGGGCTCCGGCCTGTGTTGCCGTGGCCTTCTGCAGGTCCTCGCGGAGGCGCTCCATATCACGGTGGAATCTCGTATACTCCTTGCGAAACGCATTCTTGTGCTCCACCTCGTAGGTCTTCCAAAGGCCCTCTCGGTCGGAGATCGCCTTGTGCAGAGCAAGCACTCGTTGCTCCGCTTTCCTGGCGGCATTGAGGGATGCTTGCAGGAGGCCAGTGAAACCATCCGGCTCGAGCTCCGGGTTGTTGGGGGCACCATCGCGTGGGCGGTCGCCCCCATTCTTGTTGTGTCCACGCTTCCTGTCGTATGCAGGGAAAGCGTGGCCTTGCCCACCATCCTGCTTTCCGTCTCCCTTCCAGCCCTTCTTCTTGGCACCACGCCAAAGCTGCCAAGAGCGTGGCGAATAGTCTTCCCAGCCTTCGTCCCATTTCTGGCCTCTTCCCATGTAGGATCGCAGCACAGCCCGTCCCGAGCCGTGGTGTAGTGCCAGTCGTTTCCACTGAAGGTGGGATAGCTCGCGCCCGAAGCGGAGGGCGAGACGAGCCTTGGATCGTCGGCGTCTGCAACGCCTATGCCAGTTCGGGGAAGGAGGATGCTTCCCTATGGCTCGCAATGGCGTGCTACGCCTGGGGCTGCAGTTTTCCGTCCTGTACGGCGATCTGAGCCCTACCAATACATACAGACGTACACACAAGCATGCAAGAACACATGCAAACATGCGCACGTATGTACATATACATACATATGTAGAGATATATATACATATATATATATGTGTGTGTATGTGTATATATTTATATAGATAGATCAACAAGCGTACATACCTACATACACACATGCTATGTACACAACACCTAACAGTAGTTCACCCTGTCCTCCGTGCGGGTACCGCCTAACTAAAGAGATTCGAGACCCGTAGCTACAACCCAATGGATCTCTTGAACATAGTTCCAAGCGCGTGAACACACCGTAATCACAAGATGCAAGAAACCAAATGCCCTGGTTCACAGGCCCACATAAGGCCGGCACATGACAAAACTCGGAGAGCTACGGCACGAAGGTTCGGAGACTTGAGGGGTTTCGACACGCACCCTCGCTGACGCAGGCACGGCTTCGAGAGTCTGGCTGCTACTGTTACTACCGTGACTTGCCAGCACATGTTCAGAGACTTCAGGGGTTTGGGGATTTCAGTGTCCGAGATGCTCGGAAAGCCCTCGGCACCAGTCCTCGTTGCCAGAGCTCTTGAAAGCGCCAGGCCTTCCCACGCAAGCTGGCTGAGTCCGAAAATGTTTCTCCCTTCGTGTCCCCTTGACATCAGCTCTGGCGCGGGGGCTCCGGGTTGGCGGGCCTTAAGCAGGAGGTGCTTCTGGGGTTCAAGTATGGGTGAACGAGGCACTAAACCCTTGGCCTGAAAACTCCTAGTTCCAAGCCAGACTTATCTGAACCATCTTGCAAAGAGTCCAACATAAGGACTCGTTAACGACCCCACGTCAAATCACCTAAACCTTTGACCCTGCAAGCATCAAGCGTCAGAGTCGGCTCTTACTTCTGCGCCTTGCGAGAAGCAGAGCACCCCGTTCTCCGCGTGTGGCCAGAGCAAAGCCCGCGTTGGTTGCAGTCTCAGAGTGTTGGTTCGGCTCAGGCTTCAGGGCTTTGGAGCAGGGGAGGCGTCATGGAAGGCTGGCTCTCTGCATAAAAAATGATCCGCAAGGGGGGGGGGGGGGGTTGATGGCAAGCCTATTTTGCAACAGAGGTGTTCTTAAGATTTCTTGAGATTGTGCTAATATCAGTGGCCGATCTTGCGGCAGACCCGTGGCAAACAAAAGTACGATCAACTTCTGAGCTGTGCCTTGTCATGCCAACAAGTTCTTGTCATAGCGAGAGGTTCCAGAAGTCCAGCCCCTCAAGGGAACAGCCGGAACACTGCACCGTCTTGAAAAACTTGCCGGGCGAAGGAATGAGACTTGCGATGATATTTCCGTCTGTTTCTGAACTCTGAAGCCCTGCGCCGACACCACCCTACACACTCAACACCCTGTCCCTCCTCGCCAAACCCGGGTGTTGGGATACTCGACAGAATACAAAACCTATAGTCTCCATTGTAGTTCCGTTTTGGGGCTACCTTTTAGGATCCTTAATACAAAATTGGTTAAACCAGACAAAGGAACTTCAATGGAGACTAATTGTACTTACCTTTGGTTAGCAGGGAATGGAAGAATGGTAGTAATAGTCGTTCTCATTCTACCCCATTCCTCCATCCCCTGCTAACCAAAGGTAAGTTATAGGATTATTAAGGCCACTATATTATAGCAGCCTTATAGATCCCTTATAGTAACCCTTAGGAAGGTATCAGAGTTGCTTTGGGGACCGGGGCCTCGCTTGGGCCGGGGCCTCCCTTCTCAGGGTTCCTTTGGGGCTCCTGGGTTCTTTGAGATTTGGGGCTTTTGGAAGCGGTACTATAGGGACCTTACTCATTACCTCTACTGTTTTGGGGGTTACTTGTTATAAGTGTGGTATAATGGGCCCCAAAACCCTGTTCTAACTATTAAGGCCTCTATTTTATGGTGTCAGGGTTGAGAGCAGGCCGAACACCAACTTCTTGTGGGGACCCACACATAGGGTCAGAACAACAGCGGACGGCCGGACTTTTCCGCCTGCAGCTTCGCACTATTTTGATGAACATGGCTCAAAGCCTGGGCCATGCAACTTACACCCCTCTGCTTACCAATGAACTCAATGTTGGTGTGTGTCTTTTTCGATCTTCCGGAAGGCACTAAATTCTTAATATCGTACTGGCAGAAGTCGTGCTACCACACCTCCGGACAAGCACTGTCCACATGACCCATCCTCCGACACTTGTTGAAAGTGCTGAAACTGCCACGGTGAACAACAATGTGTATGTTGATTGTAAACCCTTGCTTAGTTGCCGACTGCGCAGTGCATGACTTTTGCAGGGCTTCAGGGTCGGGTTAGCAGTTGATAAAGCATAGAGATTTCGGTCAAGTACTTAAGTGCCTGAACGTTGTCATTCTACTCTATAAGACACTGCCCTGTAGAGGCAGCATCAGCCGACTCCGTTGGAATTCCCACCAAAGATCACCGGAACAAGCGTCGCCGCTTCGACTTTGCATTGCCGAGGTCCTCAAATTGGATCTAACGGACAGATCACGGCATCGCCTTCGAGACGAGTCAGTTGCTAGTGTGTTCTTCTGGCATGCCAGGATTCCCTGGGGAACAGCAAACCAGGGCCACCACGAGTAAAGGCAAGATCATCCGTCTGCAATTGTTTTTTCAACTGCTAAATTGCGGCGCAAGCTCTAACTCGTAAATCCTGCAACTCCACACACTGAACATTGCAAGCATAATCGGCACACGCTTCTGCTACGGCAACCTCGGCTGCAACACAGTCATGCCCCCCCCCCCCCCACGGGCAACATCGACGTCCAAACAGACAAACACCCAGACACCAAAAGTCATCCAAGTAATTCCTTGCAATCTTCGTACAGGAGGGATACCCTAAATATCCGAGTACCCCAAAATAACACCTTGTTAAAGCCCCGGAAGTCCTTTGGATCCACCAGCGCCCAGGGGTCGAAGAGCTGTGGCCCGCGCGCTGCACACAGCGTCGGCTCCTCGTCGATGTTGGCGATGCCTGGCCACACAAAGGTTCGAACAGTCATCTTATATCCTAGTATGCAGTTGTACAAACCCACACATGCACAAAAGTATTTACATACATATGTATATATGTATATATGCATAGATGTATAGTTGTATATATGTATATACGTATAGAAGTATATATGTATATGTGTATGTATATACATGTACAAAAACATACACATATACGTTTACATACATATGAATATGTATATGTATAATCATGTTTATGTATATGTATAGGTATGTATATGTATATGTATATGTACATGTACATGTACATGTTCATGTATATGTATATGTATATGTATGTGCATATGCATATGCATATGTATATGTATATGTATATGCATATGTATGTATACCGAGATACAAAGATACAGGTAAAGGCATAGATATGGATGTAAACATATGTATAGATATACACATGATAGGCATCTGCGGAAAGACGTAGATGCAAGTATGCATGGCCATACGTATGTGTATATGCATAGACACAGGTCGAACACGCACACACACACAAACGTACACATGTCATGCAAAAATGACACCTAGACCCAAGAGTAACCTAGGAATAAAAAGGGTGCCCTTTTTGGGTTAAGTGGTATTATAATAAGAGAACCTAAACCCTAAAAAAGGGAATAAGGGCCTACTCCGGGTCCTAGACACTAGGAGCATGTTTTAGACTACAGGGAGAAAGCAACTGCGTGCACCAGCTCTGGTGGCATTGGCGCATCCCCGCCAAAGCAAGTTGCTTGTAAGGCAACGTAATTACAGGCACCCTTTTCTTCGAGGATGTTTGTTCTCAACACCATAAGCTCCCCACCACGTCGACCTACCCCCTTTACAGCAAGGCTCCTTCCCGGGGGTAGAGTTTGGCTATGCCGTTCTTTAGGTCTGGCATAGGTATTCCCAAAATACCCATCCCATTCTCGTATTCATCATCATTATCACGAACATCATAATCATCATCATAATCGACGTCATCCTGTTTCATGTCGCCAAGGATGAGGGCGCCCATCCTTTGGAATGTGTGCGTGTGTGTGTGTGTGTGTGTGTCTGTGTGTGTGTGTGTGTGTGTGTGTGTGTCTGTGTGTGTGTGCGTGCGTGCGTGCGTGCGTGCGTGCGTGCGTGCGTGTGGGTGGCTTTGTGTTCGGGATTCTCGGAAATAGCTCTCGCTAGTAAGGCAGGGGGTCTGGGACGGACGAGCTGAGAGAGCTTTGAAGGAATCTGGATGCGTAGGATCTGTCTCCTGGACCTACACCAAAAAACGAATCACCCACTCTCGTAGCAGGTCAGGGAAATTCGCGGCACCCCAGTGACGCCCCATGCCCCGATTCGCGGGTCCCTTTTTATATAGACGGCTTGAGTTGATGCGGACATGTGGGGTTGGGGAGGTGGCGGCACAATGTCACTTCTGATGATTCGCTTGTCCCAGGAGGAAGATGGCAAGGAGTTTCTTCATGCGCTGCGCCCCTTGGCTTCGACAATCGTACAGCCGTGGGCACAAGCCAGGCATCTTCGTTGACAGAGCGGGGAAAACAAGTTGTTTCAGGGAGAGGTACACCACTGGCAATTTCCATACCTGATTAGCCCTTTGCAAAAACTTAGCACCGAGAGCATCATTAATGCACGGGCCCTGATGTGTAGAGTAGGAGTAAGGGGGGTGTCTACACAGCGTCTGCACTATTCTAATCCGTTTACTTAGCGGTCCCCAAAGAAATCCAAGAAAAACCCAACAAGCAGCCCAGAGGTGAGACAAAGCTCGGTGCCTTTGCGGAACTCCTTCGTTGTCTGCCGTGTTACCTGATGGCAGTATCGTCGTAGGGTTTGAGCTCTCACCCACTAAGCTCTCACAATGAATCGCTGTTTCCAACAACAAGTAGAGGATACGACTGTTGGTTATCCCGTAGAATCCTGAGAACAAGGCTTCTACTGGTGCAGGCGTATACTTTATCAGGGTGTCTTGTCATTGTGTCTGAAACGTCTCGATTCAAGACGAGCATCGGCGTTTATCCACTCAGTCATCTGTGACACACCTATATCCTGGGGCCTCCAGAGTTCACATTATTGAACTGCTCGCAAAAGATCCGTGCGTTGCCACCCAAGCATTCCACATCCGACACTGCCAATCGTTCCATAGCACCGCTTCGGTGTGGCAGCTTAAGCAATTCCAAGGAAGATCCTGCAAGGAGTGGGGCCACGAGCTGATTACAGGAAGAAGTCATGTGTAAGGAATGCCACAGATACAAGGCCTTCTTGTCTCATGTCGCGAAGACTTACCGAGTCACCCGTTTTCAAGCACCATCCGTTGTCGGATGGCGGTGCAAAAGAGGCGAAGCCCTCCCATACGCACAGCATCTGGGGCCCCTGCAATGAGAAATAAATGGTAAAGCCAGAGAACCATGGAAAGAAACGCGGCGAAGGTGACCAGGGCCTCGGGAGTGTTTCTTCCACATCAATTTGCGACTTGAAACGAATAGCACGGCAATGAACGCGTAAGCGGATGGTGTATATGGTTGCCCACATGTAACCTGTATGGATGTGCCTTCGTCAGTCTCCACTGCAAACAGGCAGGGAACACAGCATCAATCTACAGCATACATCGCATAGAGACAAACTGCAGTTTGGAAATAGGGGAAACGGCGATGTGTCTTCAGGACTGGACATCTGTTTGCATGCAGCCGCAGACTCGCACACACATCGAGCTCTTGGGTTGAACGTCAAGAGGCGCCAACGCCACACATGGCATAGAAAAGCAAGGACATCGACTTGTCAATCCTTGGTTCACATGGGAACTCATGGGAACTCTCCGAACCCCGCACCGTCTTGCACAACACAACGTGGCCCGTAAAATGTCAAAGGTAGCTCTGTGACGACGACGACGACGACGACGACGACTGACTTTTGCTACTGCTTCTGCTGCTGCTGCCGCTGCCACTGCCACTGCTGGCAGGTG